TCTCGGGTTCGTGGGTTCGAGCCCCGCGTCGGGCTCTGTGCTGACTGCCAGCTCAGAGCCTGGAGCCTGTTTCAGTCTGTGACTCCCTCTCTCTCTGACCCTCCCCTGCTCACGCTGTCTCTCTCTCTCTCTCGTCGAAATAAATAAAACATTTAAAAAAAAATGCTTAAGTACATATGAAAACACCATTTTATAACGATAATCCTCTCCCTACAATCTAAGACCACAATAATACAAACAAATATAAAGGTCTAGAAAGTGAACAAATACCTAAGTAAGGAAAGCTTTCCCTGACTCACTTCCATTTTTACTCTTAGACTGAATGTCGATTAGCTCAGTGAAGTCGTTCTGATAATGTCAGTTGTCAGTCATTTACTAGATGGTGATGTGTGAAGTTTTTCAGCAGTCATGGACTACTTGAGTGATAAATGAAATAATGAGGACACAGAAGCCTGTACAAAACTTCTCCATTTCTGATAAATTCTTCTCCATGTGGGGATTTAAGACAAGAAGACAAAAAATACATTAAAATTTGTTTAAATGTGGCATTTATTTAATGTAGTGTCTGTCTTAAAACATTTATCCTTTACCTTAAAATTTTTAAAAATTAATATAAGTGGCCAATAGTTAATTATAATCATTTCCCAACTATATTGGTCAGTGTAAACAACATTAGCTGCTGCAAGAGAGAAGATGAAAATCCAAAGTCCTTTCACAAAAAATGTTCATTCTTAACTTGTGGATGGTGTGACTGTGTGTGAATCCCCTCCATTCAGTGACTCTAGGATGTGGGCAGCCATCTGTCATCTACCATCTACCATCCACATAGTTCTCCAAAGTTATTGTGACAGGAGAAGAAAAATGGTGAACTACATCAGGATGTTTCAAGGCTAGGACTGGAAGTGACTTATATCATTTCTACTTATATACTGTTTCGAAATCCAATCACTTTACTTCTGTTTAACTGCAAGGGAGGCAAGGAAATGCAGAAGAGCTTTCAATAGCCTCTACTATACCTACCAAACTTGGGTATTTAAATAGTCATTTAAATCTGGATTTTTAACTAAATCATATCCAGTTAAGTGCTGGTTTGAAAATACTAGGTACAAATTAAAGAGCATTTCATAAATATAGGACTGATTTCCTTATATACATTTCTTTGAATGTATTTCAATTTCATTGAAATTTTAAGAAAAAAAATACATGTTCATGGTAAAATATTGCTAGAAATTTTAATGTCTATTGAAATAAAAAATAAAATTTATTTCCATAGATATTTCCAATTTGCCTCTCAAATAGTTAAATCAGTTTGTACTCACCCCCAAGTGAGAGAATATTTTCCCCATATTTTGTCCAACAGTTGGCATCATTATATTATTAAAACTTATGTTTTATTCAATTTGATAATTGTATGATGAAATAAATACTCCAGTTTTATTTAGTCATGACTTTATAATAGGAAAAATTACTATGAGTTTGTCTTCAGAACTATAAATGGAGATACTATAAACCTCAAGTTAATTTGGTTTGATTTATTATTTCAAATTAATTCTAGAATAATTGTCTAAGTCTTCTCAAAAGTCACACTGAAGTTTTTATTTGAATTCAATTCAATACTTAACGTTCTTAAGTTTGCTAACAGAATTTTTATCTGAGTCCATGGAATATCTATATGAAATAAGATACTCTTTAATATATCTATGTAAAGTACATTTTTAATTCTTTTGGCTTGGTACATTTCTCATTAGTATTTTATATCTTATTGCTAGATTTAATGGGATATTTTTATTTTATATCTTCTGTTCATCCATTGAATATACAAAGTTTACTAATTTTTTTGATTTGTACTACCTTTGTAGAATATGGCCTCTTTACAGTTCCTTTTCCTTTTGGATTCGTACACATTATCTATCTACATACCAGTTATATCTATTTCCATCAGCTATCAATATAATGACAATATCTGCATTAGTGACGTTAATTGTATATCTACTTCATTACAATAGATTTACTGCTTATTTTTTCACCTTAATATCTTTTGCATATTTCTACTCTAGATTTTCTCAATGATGTAGGTTTTCATTTATGCTGTTCCTTCATGAGACTGTGAATCCTTCAATGGAACAAGTGTCTTCCATTTGTGTTTTTTGGTCTGGTAACTAAAATAGTACCTGATACAGAATAAACATTCAAATGTTGAGTGAATACTTGAGTGAATAATCTTGAACTTCGGGTTTAGAATTGGTCTGGGTAATTCCTTTGAATGTTAGATCAATGGAAGTCAAAAAACAAGATAGAGAAGCAGACATGAGTTGAATGGCATAGATACTGGGCCTAGAAGAAACCTAGGTACCTAAGGGACTTTATGAAATGAGGCCAAGGATGTAGTTTGGCTTCCTAATAAGGAAGATGAAGGGGATGTCTAGCAGATACATCACTGAAATAGAGGGAAAGTTACCTGTCGCAGACTAGGAGTCTGGAGTTCCCTCTTGTCCAGCAAGAGCAGACCCAGAATGAATACAAGAGAGGCTAATGTCCAGGAGGAGACAAGATCCCTGACCAGAGGTTTCATCTCTATACCTATTGAGCTCACAAGATATTACCCACATGGTGAACATGAAGAAAACAAGATCTTACACATGTGAATATAGAGAAAACAATCAGACAGTAATCATTAAGGTGTGTATGGAAGCAAAGGGTCTGGGGGGCAAGTGGAGTTTGTGATCTTAGTATAATAGTACATTGGTGTCATCTGGAAAGTAATTTCCTGCAGGTAATATTACAAGTTACTTGTAATGCTATTCCAACAGCTTGCTAGCTAACATTGGGCACTTTTGCCCCATGGTGGTGACTTTCCTCCCTAAGCATTTTTCTAACCCATTTATGTATGTAGAACCTATTTCCCCATCAGGCTTTTTAACCTTTGACTATAAGCAGTGAGACTGGCTGGCCAGTGAAGCAAGAGTCCCTTTTTTCAATTGAACCTAGGTCAAATAGAGATAACCAACAGTTAACTAGATGTAGGACCAGGATTCTGACAGGTGAGATCATGTTTCTATCTGCTTGAATCAATATCCCAGGAGAATATTACGCCTGAAATTTGAGTAATATAAAATATTTTATAATAGAGTATGACATAATTCATAATGAATTTACTAGGCAGTTGATATTAAAATGTGCCACAAATTGTGGCAATAATAAAAATACCTACAGAAATAGTTAATGATTATTAAGGATTTATTATGTTCGAAGCATGTGATTACTGCTTCACAGAGATTATCTCAATACTCACAGCAGCCTATTAATCAGGTGTAATTTTGATTGTATCTTACTGATAGGAAAATGCATCCTAAAAAGTTTGTTAAATAGCTTGACTAAATTCACATGCTAGTATGTGGTGGAATTGAATCGCTAGGGAAAGCCAGAATTTTCAGTCCTGACTTTTATTTCACATGGGGAAATTTAAAATAAATACCAAGGTCAGAGCCTTACCTTTGGAAATTATTACTTAATTGGTCTGGGGTGGGATCCAGTGGAATTGGTATTTTTAAGAAGCTGCCTGGTGATTTCAAAGGGTGGGCAGAGTAAAAGAACTGCTGAGCTATCAAAGCGTATTATTGAGAGCTTAGCTGTGCCCTCCCGTTGTACTTTGTCAATACAAATAACTGATAATGGTTCTGTCATTTGAAAGAATAGTTTTAAAATTTATTTTACTCCTTCTGTTCTCTTTGCATAGTCCTTATTTATGAATACTGTATTTGCCTCACTGGTTCTGCCTGCCCATTTTTTTGTGTTTGTTTCCTGGAATATTTTGATTTACATGCTGGGCAGTAGAATTATCTACTGTTGTGCCTCTGCAAGTGCATTTATGTTTAGATAGGATTGCTGTTTCTAGGCCTTTGCTGCTCTTATAAATTTTCTTTTAAATAATTGTTCAGGTATTATTATATTTTCCTGTATTCTTCTCAGCTACACCAAATAGGATGTAGCTGATTTGGTTTTTATTAAGCCTAGTTGATTAGGTTTTATTAAATTTCTCATTGTATTTTATATAATGATTGGTTTAATAGTGCTTGTAAAAATTGCTGTAGATAATAAGTTTATGGTTCTAGATTTTTGCATGTAGCCAAAAAATTATACAAGACTGGATTCTGAGTCACTTTACATTATTTTCTGGCATAATAGTTTGCCTTCCCTCCATATACAACCCAAGCAACGTTATTAAGATGAATTATCATCACAACAATAGAAAAATGGGCAAAGGCTTAAACATACAGTTCAGAAAAAAACAAAGTAAAAAAAGATAAGAAACACAAAAAATTAAACCTAATCAGTTAATTTAAGAGATGTCAACAAAATACATTTTTTCAAAATACATTTTTAAAAAATATGAATTAACAACAGTTTCCTCTTGGACTTTTTAGCGTATAGATGTAATATAGTTTACATTTTTATAATTTGGTATTCTCATAATACAGTGTAATCTCCACAAGGAAGGGAGTTTTGTCTATTTTGTTCAATCACATAAGAGCTAAAACTAGTGCCTGTTATTTAATAGATGCTCAATGATAAATATTAGTCAAAGAAGTAGTTTACTGAATGTATTATTTTAAACATGAGGAAGTATGTGTATATTTGTGTACAAAGCATTAACAAACTTGTGAATTGCACACAGTATTATATGACAGGCAGCATATAAATTCATATAATATTTCTGGAGAGCAGTCTATGAAGAGGTATCATGTTTTTGTTAAATATTTATCTTATTTGAATTATTTGCATTTCTAGAACTGTACTTTATGGATATAATCAGTGAAATGCAGATTTATAGACAGAAAACTCTGTTCATAACATTGATAATGTAAGGAAAACAAAAATAGCTAAATGTTAAATAAAATATGGTATTCTTTTAGAACAGACTAATGTGAAAATGCAGTGGTATAATGCTAAATGAAAAGTGGAGGGTGGATAATAGAGCATGGTCTCAATTTTGTAAAAAAATGAGAGACAAATTAGTACATCAAAGTGCTAATAGCAATTATATCTGTTTGGTGAGAATAAGGTTTCTTTTTCTTTTTCCTTTGCACTATATAGAATGCATGATATTTCTTCTATTTTTAAGTTTATTTATTTATTTTGAGAGAGAGAAAGAGTATGTGTGTGTGCATATGTGTGAGCCAGGGAGAAACAGAGACAGAATCCCAAGCAGGCTCTGCACTATTAGCATAGAGCCCAATGCAGAGCTCAATCTCTGGAACCATGAGATCATGACATAAGCTGATCTCCAGTTACAATTTGTTTGGCAGATGTGGATTCTAATGTATGTGAGATTTAAAATGATTATGAGAGAAATCTTTTACTTTTGGTAGGTGACTTTAAATTAGTGCTGTGTCCCAGATTTAAAGAAGAAAACCACGATTAATCAAATAACATATGTAATTATTTTGTTTCCCATTATGAAAAATGTGTTTGGTTTACTATTTATAGAGGACAAAAGGAGTTTAAGAATAATCACAGATTTTTCTGACATTACTGTTGGGGGTGGAAACTTACTTAATAAGGTCATTGACCAGTAACAGAAGACAATGCTATATCGTGCTTCTTTGTAATTTAATAGTGGGTGTTTTAAAAATAATTTTTACCATGTAATATGCAGTTTAAACTTATGTAAATAGATAAGCACCTTACTTAACATTTTACCTATTTTGCATGTTTTCTCAAAACTAAAATAGGAAATGAAGGACTTAAGATAAGTCCTAAGGGAATATAATGGTAATATTTATGTTGGAATTTAATATTAAATAAGATAGAAGATATATTAAATAAGAGAGTTTCAGTGTATACAGTGATATGCCTAATTTGCATATAGCTCTTGCTTTCTTTTTCTTCTCTAGGATTCAGAATTTCCCACAGATATGCAACCAAATCCAAACCTGTATTTATATAAAGAAAATATTTGTCCAGCAAAATTTGACTACAAGCTGAATAACATTTTTAGACTTCATGAACTTCCAGTGAGCTGGTAGGGTTCTTGATATTTTTTATTAATGCCTTTGAGATTTTATTGTCATGTCTAAATTGTGTTGTTCTTATAGCCATTCATGGTTGAAGTGGTTTGCTCTTAGCCTGTTTCCAAATTGCTACTCATAACAGCAAAAGAATCTGCTTATAGCTGTTGCAAGAAGCTTAAAACTAATTGGTTTAGGCACTTGGTGGCAGTACAGACTAAGTGCACTATTGTGTATGTTTATTGTAGAGGCTGTAGTTCAGGCTTAAAAGAAAGCACAACTCATTTCTAGAGTTGTTTGTAGGATTTCTCTTAAAGACAGGATCTCAGCAACTAAGAATTTCATTTGGTTATTTATTTATTACCAGCATATGTTTTTTTCCCTCATTAACAAATTGCTTATTTTGTTTGTTTTGAGGACTAGTTTTGTGAATCATAATCCTATCAGTTGAAAGACAAAACTTATTACTGGTATTTATTAAATGCATTCTTTTATGAATCTGGGCATATTTATATTCATACCTATTTTACATTTTAAAAATTTACACTAGTATTCAGTTTTCAAGATAAATATTAAAATGGGCAATCTGCACATACACATTCTATCATATAGTTGTGTGGTTATTAAAATTTTAGCAAGTGGTCAGCTTTTAGGATGTGATCATGGATATATCACTTGGATTATGGTTTAGGTAAGTAATATTCTTTTCTTACATTTATTCATATATTCCCAAATTTATGTCATCAATCTTCAGGAAATCTTATCCTTGTAAGAAATGAATGGCTAACATTATGTAATTGTTCCTGTTATATTTAATGAGGACAAATGTCTCAAAATAAGATGTTAACCAGCTCTGATATCTTACATGCATTTACCTGTGTTTTTTATTTTATTTGCAAACTTCTCTTTCCCAATGACTGGACATATTATTTATTTTCCAAACCCTACTTGCTTGATTATTTCCATGTAGCAAGAATATTTATTGTCTTTGGTATCTTACTTAAGAGCACAGCAGATATGATCTTATTTGCCCTGACCAAAACCAGTAAGTTGCTGAACTGAAAAGGTCTGTTAGTAAAGGGAGCCATAAAAATTATACATTCAACCTTAAATATGTATTGTATTTTGTCTTAAAACAGTGCATTTGTATTCACATGCTGGTCTTTTGATGTAAGGCCATGACTTTTTCTTTGGTTGACTATTGATTGGAATTCTACACACTTATCGCATAAGCTATACCAATAATATACCATTTACAGTTTCAATTTGGTGATTTCCTTAATCTGAAACAAGAATTTCAAACACTCAGAAGATGATCCCCTCACCTTTCCAAAGCATTAATTTAATTTTAATTGACAGCATACTTATCACACTCATATTTCATCACCTTGATTAGTCTTTTAATTACATTTATAATAGCAAACAAAACTGGCTTATAAGGAGGGTTAGTACTAGTAAAATACTCCTTTGAACTCATTGTAATCATAGCCCTTAGCTGATGGGAATAGCCTGTGCTGGTCTGCTTGGGTGTGGTCTGAAAGCTCTGAGCAGTCGAGGTACAGTGAGCACAACTAGCATAGTTTACAGAGAAAATGAGAAATGCTGGCCAATCCAACCAGTAAGTGGAGGTTAAGGGAAAACTTTCTATTAAATGAAAATGAAGAGAATATAATGAGGTAAATATTTAACTTTTAGTAGAAGACACAAAATCTGGATTTCAGCTAAATTTATTTCCAGCCTTTAGAAAGACAGCTGCCCTGGTAACTACTACTGCAACCCAGGGAATAATTTCTCTGTCACCATCTTCACTAGTTAGCCCAATAGGAAAGACTCTAACATTATTAAGTTAGACAGTAAAAAAAAATTGCTAGTAGAAAGAATAATCTAGAGTATAACATGTCTCAAAGGAAGATTAATCTGTGACTTTGGGACAGCTCATTTATCTGAGCATTTTGTTGCCTGCCTTATTCATTTCCAATTTGTCTTGGTTGCTACTTCTGTATACCACCATTTCTTTGTTGTCACATGCCTGTTTCTCTCCCCACCTATTTTACTCTACCTCTTTCTCTATATTCTCATTCTATACTGTCAACCCTTATCTAACTGTAATATAAAATTTAATTGTAAGTTTTTTGTGTTGCTCAAATGATTTCATATTCTCTATTCTTAATTTTAAAATCAAATCAATCTTTCCCTGACCCCACATACTTTGTGTGGGTTTGGTACTTTATGATTCTTTAATACAATGTTTATTGACTCATTTATATATTTCTTTAAGGAATAAAGAAAAGGCTTTTGTTTTATAAATATGTTTATTGTTTTTGTTTGTTAGTTACCATCAATGGAAATTAAGCTCTTCCTCTGTGGTGTATTGATTTCTTAACTTTATGAAAATAACAATAATAGTAAAAGAACATCAGTAATAACAATAAGCATCTATAAATGCCAGGATTCAGCTGCTTTGCTTTGTACATGCTGTTTGACCTTTATGTTTCCATAGGGCATTTATTATCTTCCCTATTTCTCATTTCTCTCTCTCTCTCTCTCTTACTTTCCCTCTCCCTCCCTCCCTCTCTCTGTCTCTCTGTCTCTGTCTCTATGTCTCTCTCTCTGTCTCTCTCCCACACACACCCACACCCACACACACACACACACATACACACACACTGCTCAGAGATTTTGAGAGTCACAGGGAAAGACTTTGTATCAGGTCTGGTTAACCCAAAAGCAAACCCCCAAACAGTGAAGAAGCCATGCATTATTTTGAAGAAAATTGCTGAGGAAATAGTCTCTATGTTTACAATCAGGCATACAAGTTTGCCAGTAACATGCAACTATATAACCTATGAATTTGGCCAATACCCTTTTCCCCCTGATAATTGCTTTAAACTTAAATATTAAGATAATTAATTAGATTGTGCTTAAGTGAAGAATTTGTTAATTATATGTTCTTTCCCTGGAAAAACAAGATTTATTAAAATGTATTTTTACTATGTTTTTCTAACAAGGTCAAAATAAAATAAATGCATATTAAATTCCAGATAATTTAAAAATTCTTAATGTCTTACTAATTTGCATTTTTATAGAGTGCAATTTCATAGGTCAAAGAACCAGGATTTTAAGTCAGATTAGTTAAGAGAGTTTTTAAGTTGTGATTTAGGTAGATGTCTTTTTTCTACTTTTACAGGATGGTTCCTATCATCCTAGAAAATGTCCTTCAGTAACTCTCATTAGTTAAAAACACTTTTTTTTGTCCTTGACCAGACGACCCCCCACAGCACCTAGGCTGTTTCCTCAGAAGCTGCTCTGGCTCATATTCACTAAAATGGTTGGCAGGAGTGAGGACGGAATGAACAGCCTCTACTATTCTTTTTGTATTCTCCTCTTCAGTGTCCTTTCTTAGCCTCTGAAACTATTTTTGTCAATCATTTGCTCCTTCAGTGCCTACCACCAGTGTCACTTACTTGTTCTCATTTTCTTTACCTCTCAGATTTGGTCAATACAACCTACCATGCCTGCTTTTACTCTCCTGACTCTCATTATTTGTATGGTCTTGGTTTTCCCAGGACTCCCAAGCTGTCCTGCTCAGCATCTTCACTGGGCTGTTCCTCTTCTGCTAGAGTTCCGGTTGATAGATTCCACCTCCCCGTACTCCTCCCTAGCTCAGCGCATAGCTTCTTCTCACTAATACACTTCCCCAGGTGGCCTCTCCCATTCTCAGGCTGTAAATACTCTCCATGTGGTGATTATCCCTATGCTGATGTCTCTACCATTGACTTCTCCCTTGAGCTTGGGTATCTAAAAAATTTTTCCAAATTGTCATGCCCAGAAAGAAATCTCTTTTTTGTCTTCCAGAAAACCTGGACTTCTGACCTTCCTTATTTTTGTAAAAGCAAAATGTGAATGTATGTGAATTTACTCAAGCTAAAGGCCTAGGAGTCACTGGGATTGCTCATTCTCTCACCGTTAAGTTCCCACCATTAGATCTACCAGTGAGTCTCACAGGTGCTTCCTCCAGAATACAAATACATTTTTTCCATGTCTCATGCTATTGCAAAAGCCCTACTTTATCCTATAATAATTCACTCACCTCGCAGTAACAAGATAGATCTTTTAAAAATGTAAATCAGATTATAAGATTTCTTACTTGAAATACAATAATGTCTTCCTCTTGTTTTACAATGTAAATTTGCTACTGTGGCATACCAAGTTCTACAAGTTATCTCCTGTCTACCTCTTTGGCCATGCTCTCCCTCACACTCCCTGCCCAGTACCCTCAGCTATTTCAGTTTTCTCTACTGAAAACTTTCACTACTCTTTGCAAACATGCCACAATTACTATTGTCCCAGGGCTTTATACTAGCTCTTCCTTCTGTATGTGTTGTTAACATATCCAATTTTTTGCATGTCTGGCTTTCTCATCTCTAATATCTTAGCTCAAATATCACCTACTCAGAGAAGCAGCTCTTGAAAAATGTGGCTAATATTTTACTCCTACTCCTCCGGTCATCTACAATCTCATCATTCTACTTTATTTCTGTCATGGTTCTCAATAGGTATGCAGCATAAATTTTAAAGTACTTTATAAAAGTAAAAAAAAAAAAAAGAACATGACTGTTAGTGTTTTCCTAGTTTATGTTTGTCAGAGACTGGCTGGATACTCACCAACCCAGTTTTCTCTTCCTTGGGCCCATTGGAAGATTATATGGAATATGCAAGGTTATATGGAAGCTATGTGTTACTAATTCTGACCAAAGCCAGTGTATACCACTTCCAGTACCAACCCCTTAGGCTTCCACTGATATTATCTACTCTCTCCATCCTCATTTTCCTAACTGGAATTAAAAGACTTTGAAAGTGATGAGCCAAAGCTAGAAGGAGCATGTGTTCTTGAGTCCTCTATTGCTTGGTGAGTTCCTGACCTTCTTCAGGCTTTTTCTGTGGCACTGCTTTCATTGCCCTCACCAATGCACTGTATTTCTGTGAAAATAAATGAGTTAGGCTATGTAAGAGA